GGCATTATACGGAGTCTGCCGGAGATACTCTTACTACATTCACTTTGTGGACCTGAGCCCTCCTAATTATTAGCGCTTGGCGCGGAGCGATATATCTCTGAGGAATTTAGACTCCTTGGCACTGGCAATCTCGAGATGCTAGCCCTTCTTTGCTGCTGCTCCTGTATTTTATAAGCGATTCTCCATGTGGTGCACAAGAGATGGTCCTTTGGGAGGGAGGCCTTGAATCGATCGCTGCTGCGCATGTCAGCCGGAGACTTCAGTCCTGCTGCGACCACAAACGCACTTGCAACATGCATGCATGCATGCATCCATGTGACCCGGATCATATACGCTAGCTAGCCGTCAAAATGTGCTGCCTGATGCTAGCCGGGGGAGCACGAATTTCGCCGGTTTACAAGCACCCAAAAAAATAAAAAGCATCCCCGTGTGGTGCATGTGAAGCTGCGGAAATTCGATGAGAATGTCATCTATACTTGTGTTCAGTGCATTCCAGAGCCAAGAACAGTGCTAGCAGCAATGATAATATCTCTGTCCGATTAGACGAAGTGAAACCTTGAGAAGCGACAAAACGATCTCAGTGGATCAAGTATAGTAGGAGTATTCCCTTCCTCCCATAATGTAAGACATTTTCTGATACTACAACGGAGGGAGTACAATTCACATGCGCTGGTATTTCTGCTTACCTGATGTGCAAGATGAAGAGGCGTTCGATCCAAGCCTTGGCCAGGCTGCCCAAACAAAACAAAAGACCATGTATGGATGGTGTATAATACTACTACTGTACTGTATGTGGGTGCCAATATACTATAGCATCATTGCTTCTCACCTCGATATGAGCAAAGATGCCCTTGTCTCATTGGAGGGGGGGTGAAAAGGCCCTCCCTGAAAATGAGAGGACTTCACACTAGCGTCTCCCCCATACTACTTCTCGTCTTGTTCCTCTGCTCTGTCCTCTACTCTGCAGTCTGCACCCCACATCCTTGGGGTCAACCAGCCTGCCTGTTCTCCAAAAGATAGGGGCAACAAAAAAGAGGTGCATTGCATGTGTATAGCTAAAAAGCAGTGGATGTCAAACGGTTTCACATGTTGATATTCACCAGAGCTTTTCACTGACCCAGTCTGCAGTCGCTCTGAATTCTGACCAGATTCTCCAGAGCTGGTATGCATGCCTGCCATGTCATACAGCTGCAGGCTGCTGCTGCTGCTGCTGCAAAGAGATTAGGATTCTTGGGACCCCACCATTGTTGGCCCCTGACACTGTGCACAGGAAGCCCAGACCAATGACTTCCAGGGTCAAGAGATGATGAATCTTGCATCTTTAACACAAAAGGAAACAAAATGAATCATGGGCAGCACAGCACGAAGCTCATAGACAATCGAACCAAGCTGACAATCAAATAACAGCAGTGCTTCTAAAACACATTTGCAATCACTAAACTTGCTCCTCGATGGTGAGACGCGCGTACTATAAGCAGATCCGCTGATTTGACAGGCGGATCACGGAATTCATAAAATAAGCGGGTCAACTCAGGCACGCTTGAAAGTATGCATAGCAGACAAACTGCCTCGTATCGTATGTCAACAACCTTTAACATCCTTCATCGGATCCAATTTTAAAACGAGTAACAATCAGACCCATTGCTTTGCTTCATCTCTGAGAAGAGAACTCGGTCAAGGAAATTTACTATTCTGCATGTCAGCATCGGAAGAGGGTCTGGACAGTTTGAATGGAACGTTACAATGGTTGCAAAACTTCCAAGTAGTAAAGGGAGCAGCATATTTCTGTACTAGGTTAGCTTAACAGTACAGCATACCAAGTGATTAACAACTGACAGTTGCAGACTGCCACTATAGTTTTCCAAATAATAGACTGCTTCCACATATCCAAACATTTATGAAGGTCGTTTTGATCTCAAACACCTGCTCCGTACTTAAATGCACTTATTAGTTTAGTCCATGTCGCAATCAAAATCGTTAACAGTTTTCTCTTAGCTTTGGACTATGACATATTCAGAAGTGGAGGGTAGATCTGGTCTGATTCAGAGGCTTATTATTGAATTATAGGTGTATTAGGAGTACTACACTACACACACAAAAGAAGTGTTCAGTGCCCACATATTTGACTAAGACTATACAGAAGCAATGTATCCAGACATTTCAAACTTCAAGAGAAAAAAACATACGACTCAAAAGCAACAAATTCTAAATTATAATGCTGGAAGCTGGACGCAAAGCTAAGAAACATTGGAAAGGGTCAAATATACAGAATACGAAAATAATGTTGTCTAATCTAGACAGGCAATCAAGACGATGCAGTAATGCATGGGAAATATGCTACATTAGTTAAAAAGTTACTGCCCTTGCTCGCATATACCGCCATAATAAACTAGTAGTAATTTCAATGACAACTGCTACTTTGTTTTTACTAGTCTGTTTTTGCCCTTTTGATGATATGGATGCTTGAGATAGCTAGATTTATCACTTCCACTATATGGTATACAACTAGAAGGGTCAGCTTCAATGTCTGTCGTCGATAATGTTACCAGACAATGATTTTATAGTAAACCTTAGTTTTGCTACTGTCCATCAGTTTAGCCACCCATTTTTCAATAGCCATCAACTTCAGTGCACCCCGGAAACTTCCATTGAAAGAACTGGATGCGACACCCTTTTTCTTCCGTTGTAACTCATACGGCGTTGGAGAAATTTCTGTTCTGCTAAGACCTTCCACTCGTGTTAGATCGGATATAGGAAATGGTGCTATAGCATAGGAAAGTACTCCCTCCGTTTGGAAATAACTGACGTTGTTTTAGTTCAAAATTTGAACTAAAACCATGTCAGTTATTTCCAAACGGAGGTAATATATCATAAACAGGCAGTACATATTTTTGGAAGAACAGCTGGGGTACATAAGCTGCACCTCGCAGGCATAAGGCATGCATAGAGATATGCATCACAGCCCTATCAGCGACACCAATTTTCAGGAAACTTACAAATAAATTATGTGCATCATAGCTCTAGCAGCGGCAACAATGGTCAAGAAATTTACAAGATAAGCTCCAGATAGTACAACCCAGTATCGAAGCGGAGTTGAATGATACAATGAATCTGAGATGCATGGTTCCTTAAGAAATGGAAACTGCACTAGAGCTTATTTCGATGTTTCATTCAGGAATATATCAATGAAAAAATCAAGCCGGGTCATGAGCTAGCAACTCGAATAAATTAGCTAGCACAGTGGCATAACATCGCAAGAAGCAAGATATCCACATGCTTAATGGAACTTAGGCAGACTGTGCTCTCCAGTGTAAATATACTACAGGGAAACTTCATCAGCATGTACTAGAGATATATACTGTGATAATCAACCGCAGTAAATTTAAAACTCAAAAGAATTGCACATCCGTAAAAGAGCATCCGTTCAGACTACTAGGTTATAGAATCTATGCCATCAAGTACCAGAAGGTGAGTAACAGCCTACCTATAATACAGCCTACTAGCTTATCCTTGAGATCTTCTCTTGTAAGCGGTAGACTCATATCCTTTCTTCCTAATTCATTATTCCATGATAATGGATTATTCCACGAATACCTCGAAGCGAGGCTCATCAAAATGCAAAATATAATACTACTAAAAAAATAAGAAAATGAACGATTAAATTACTACCCCCGAATATTCAACTGGCCGATTAATTTCTTATAATGCACTCCATTTTTCTTTGCCAAATAAACCAGCAAACATCGACGTTTCCACAAAAGTCTAAATAGACCTCTTTCCAATGATTTTTTTTGTGTGATTCCATTCCAAATGTGAATCTCAGCCATATGTCCCATACCCATATATGCAGATACCAAACAGCAACTCAACAGGAAGCCTAGTGATACAGTCATTTAGCGCTTAAACCACCACTGTTGCATATCTCCAAACTTTTATCTACAATACTAGCCATTTTCAGAACAGTAGTACTGTATAACAAAGGTTTCACTTTTTTTCTTTTGGCAAGACAAAGAGCTAGCTATGGACAGGGGTGTGTGGAAGCTTGCTATCCATGTGCCAGAGCCATGAGTTGGTTGCGAGATCTTATGGGTTTCACCTCTAGCCTACCCCAACTTGTTTGGGACTAAAGGCTTTGTTGTTGTTGTTGTTGTTGTTGTCAAGAAACAAGGGTTTCACTGTGTAACTACCATCAACCGATGACACAGTAATGAACTTAATTTTGCTCATAGAAAGATAAGAGACAGAGGGATCTCCTCAACTGATGAATATTTTATTCTT